AAATCTCCTCCCAGTCCCTTGCTACCAGTTATTCAACACATTAACAGATGCCTGTCATTTTTTCACTTTCTAGGTTTCCTCAAGACCCAGATGTGTACAGCGAAAGGACTGGCGCATTCAGGTGAAGATGGATTGGTGGCAACATGTGTGGGAAGGGGGCAAGCTTGGTCATGCGGCACACTTCATGATGAGGGCTCCTTCGATTGCACAGACCAGCTATGGTGCAGTCCCATCAGGTCTTTCTTCCCTGCTCACCTGCAGGTGAGTGGCATGTAGTTGTGCAAGGTGAACAGAGTCCACTGCTGTGTCATTGCTAACATGTGAAAGCAGCCTGCGATCTGTTTATACTGTTACAACATACCATACTTACTTTGAGCACAATCATTGCAGATGTTTGTGAGAAATAGATACATGCTCTGCACATGTACAATTGTACACATACAATAGTATGCCTCAAGTGATTGCTTAATCTTATAAGCCACTCATCAGATTGGTCTCCAACCAGTGTCCCAATTTTGTATGCAATGCATCTTGCCATTCTGGATTCAAAAAAAATACCCAGCACTGAGCACGCGCTTGCACCCAAACCACATTTCTCATTGCATTGCCAAGGGAAGTGGGTGCCCAACAATACATAAAGTTTCATCAAAATGTGTCCAGGAATTAAATAGGAGTTATTGCAAACAGAACAGATTTGGCACTGATGATTTAGTAAGTGCCTGGTGGAACGTGCCGAGTTGACTCCCCAAATGCTTCAACAATGTGTAACTTCAAGGGAGAATGGATAAGCTACACAACATGATAACTGTTTGCTAAACAGCATGTATGGCTGCAAAGATATGGGCCTCTCTAGAATGTTTGATGCCAAGTTTGACAGTTCATACTCTGTACTCATTTAAGTTTAAGTTTGACAGTTCATACTCATTTAACCCGATATTTTTTGAAATTATATCTCAATATTTTTCGATAATCAATCTCATTTCTTTCTCGCTCGTAAATATTTGTATTCCATGGACCATGATTGATCGCCTCATGTGTGAGTGTGTGTGAACATGGCAGTGTGTGCATGTCAGTGTCGAGTCCGCTCATCGCCCTATCCCTATAGGAGAACTAAGAAGTAGGCATGATTTGTTGTTTTTATTTTCCTCAGGACCATTTCAATAGCTGCCAGAGCTGCGGGGGCTGAAGCAAAGGCTAGAAAAAGCTGCGACCAGGACGTTGGCCTGTTCCAAGCAGTCTCGAAACGCACACAAGAACGGGAAAATGTCGATCCGGACAGCACGCCTCAGGGAGCGTCACTCGTCAGAGGCGGTCTCGACGGGCAGGCCGGGCGGTGCCCAGGGAACAGCGTCACCCGTCTGTGGCTGCCCCGATGGACAGGCCGGGCGGCACTCCGGCAGCAGCTGCATCCGTCTGTAGCGGCCCTGACAGCAGGCCGGGCGGCACCTTGGGAGCAGTGGCACACGTTTATGTGTGGGGTGGCCCCGACGGCAGACCGGGCAACAGAGGCAGTGTACAGGGAATAGCGGCACCCGTCTATGGTGGCCCCGACGGCAGGTCGGACACCGAGGCGGCTCCCAGGGAGCAGCGGCACCCGTCTGTGGCGGCATCGACGGCAGGACGGGCGGTGCTGATGTAGTAGCGTCTAGTTTGCTGATAAACGTTAGCGATATAGGCATTATCCTACCCCGCGTTCGATGTCTCTCGGACGGCGAAGATTCTACGCTGTCCGGCCAATCACGTTCCAAAAACGCAGCCGAGCCCCCGCTGACCTTGAACGGGATTGGCCGGACGGCGTAGAATCTTCGCCGTCCGAGAGACATCGAACGCGGGGCTAGTCACCATGCTCAGGCGCGTCGATGATATGCTTGTGCTGGGATAAGGTCAACCTAGAATTCTGACCTTACGTCAAAGTCAGGTCAGCCTATCCGACTCTGGCTTCGTGACGTAATCTATGTCGCTAAAGTAAACGGTGCAAAAGTTAAAAATTGGTTTACAAGATGTGTATACTATTAACTATTATCTCATGGCTTCGTGCGTTTGCATAATATTCAATCATTTTTCGGCACCAAAATAGCAGTTACCACCTTTCCCCATTGACTTGTAATGGCGATGTCACGTGACTGACCTGACCTCAGGTGACCATCAGGAAAAATATTAGAATATACAAGCTATAAGGTCTCTGGAGGGTACAAGGTTCTGTTAGTTTGATCTCCCTGTGAAAGCTCTTCTGGCACTGAAGGCATTGCGAAGTTGCGGCATGTCATGACCGCGCGGTGGCTTTATTATGACGTCATAGGTCAGTGACCGGGCATGACCTGAAAGGGTGATTAGTGTCATAAGATCCGGATTTAATGAAAGGTCAGTTGTACCAACTTTCAGCTCTCTGAGGCCAGCGCGTACCGAACAAGCACGAGTAAACCGTCTGGGAACAAGGGGTGACTAATCCCTTGCTGCGGTACGGTACGATTATAAAAAATTGATTTCAAATACATTTGGTGATGCTATAGGCTCTAACTAATCATTTCATAATCTTACTGGCCATCTGCAGCCTCCCAATAACTCAAAAATCGGTTTGGAAAACTGGCTCGAAACCGCTCCACCCCCATTCACATTACGTGTTATAGCAAATGCGAGTCTATGTAGACGGCTGCCCCAACATGGCCGCCTGACCTACATGCTCGCTAGTATGGGGAGCCAATGGGCGTGTCCTATCTAGTCTGTATATCTATGACAAGTACCGGGGTTACATGAGCGATCCGTTCCAAATACGCACTACGCTAATGCGCATCAGCTCCCCACAAACGTATCTACGGCACCGGTTACATGAGACTAATTCGTTTTATCTACGTCAAACGGATCTTGTTTGGCTCACCCGGGCTGACTCCTCGACGGCCGGTAATTCGTATTACAAACGGAATAGGATTAGCGTACAGTCATGGCGCAGTTGCGGCATTTACCGGGACGACTGAACTAAATTTTAAATACTTATATCATTTGATAGGCTCAAAAACATTTAAAATTAACATGAAATCAAAAAATGAAACAAAGTTTTCTTGTTTTAAGTCAGTGGGCACTGATTCGCCATGCAGCGACAGCAGGGTGGTCAGAAAAAATTATCAAAATATTTCATTCATTTTATTTCACATGCAAAGACTAAACCAAAATACCAACATTTTTTTTGCTATTTTCTACGAGGCAGCCAATAAAAAAATGCTTAGTATTTTGCATTTTGACGCTTCCAGTCAGCAAAGAATAGTTCTTGTGAAATACGGCCCGAATCGTGTGCCTCGGACGTTTCGGTTACATGAGCGATCCGTTCCAAATACGCACTACGCTAATTCGCATCAGCTCCCCAAGAACGCATTCAGTGCACCGACTACATGAGCAAATTCGTATCAGTGACGTCAAACGGATCTAGTTTGGCTCTCGGCCCGATGCGCATTACAAACGGAATAGCATACAAATGTGGCGCACTTCCGTAGCAATAGAGGTGACTAAATTAAAAATTTATTATCTTATGTCTTTTTTTGCATTTAATCTGCTCAAAACATTCTCAATTAACTTAACAAAAAAAAAGTTGAACATAAAGTTGTCTTGCTTTGACTCATTGGGCAATTGCCTCTCTTGATTCGTCTGTAGTGCTGTCAGAAAAATGTTTCAACTGAAATTATGTGGATATTTACTATTTGGTTTTCACTATATTTATTGTTGAAAACTTGACAAAATACCGACATATTTTTTCAATATTATTTGAAAGGAAGAAAATGAAAAAAATACCTATTATTTTGCATTTTAATGTTTCTTTTTGCGAAGAAATAGTTCCTGTAATACGTATCTTGGTCCTATTCGCTTCTAAGCCTCTTTCCCAGCGGATTTTGTTCGGACCGCCGATTCGTATTAGCAGGTGGATACATGAGTCGGTAGTGCGCTCCTGATTCGCATTAGCGGTGAATCCGATCGTGATACGTATTTGCTTTGCTCATGTAACCGCGGATCGGATCGCCGATTCGCACTAGCAGGTGGCTACATGAGTCGGTAATGCGTTCCTAATTCGAATTAGCGGCTAAATACGTATTTACTGTGCTCATGTAACCCCGATAAAGATCTCTATGCACATGCGAGGGTTAAAGTCTCTGTTATGGCGCATCTGTTTTGAAATCCTTGATAACCTTGTGGAGAGGATGTGTAGAAGATGCATTGCTTTTTTGATGACTGTTAAATGTTTTTTTTTAGGCAATACCTCTTTGTTTACAGGTTATATTTTAACAGTTATTGAGTAGAATTGAGTTTCAAAATTGTGTTTATTTGTAGGGCCAGGTGAGTCAAAATCAGTCTGCTTGTGTTGTGGTTGAACAATGGGTGGCTGCTGCCTGCTGGGTGGGATGGTTACTGAAGTTGCCAAAATGTGGCATGTGGCATGAGGGGTTAGCTATACTCTGTTCCGTTTCAAGTTTGCAGCCGAAGTGCCCTGCTGAAGGCAGTCCGTGATTTCTGTATATACAGCTCCTGCATTTTAAGACGCAAATTCTTGAGTGGAGGAGCGATCTGCCGAAGAAACTCCGACTGCAACCTTGATATGGAACAGACTATAGAATAAACAATGCAGGTTTTTAGTATGCCGGTAATTTGTTCTGTTTTTGTTTTGTGTGTGTTTTTTGTGTGTTTATTTACCCTATAAAAATTTTTGTGGGGTGGTACGAAGGTGCCAGTAGCAACTCTTATCTTGGGGAATTTTCTTTATTTTGGGGGAAATTTTGAAACTCTTATCATTAACATCCCAATAAATTTCATTTTAACCAGGTAAAAATGGAATACTTTCTCTTTTTGAAAATGGTTTCACTGACAGGGTGACCGAAAATGTCCGATTTGGGGGGGGGGGGCTGACCGACCGATTACCGAATCGGTCAGCACATCTTTTCGGTAACCGATTTTTTTTGGTAACCGATTGACACCACTAGTGTGCGCTCAATGTAGGTTATCTGTCTGTCGTCCCACAGACCCAAGTCTATGGCGCCGTCCGAGCAGCGTGCACCGCGCGGGAGCTGTGCACAGGAGGAGTCCGACGACTCCGACAACTCCGACCGCCAGCGCCGCCAGAGGAGGTAGGTCCATTACCTCAGCGCCACAGGGGTGTGTGTGTGGGGGGTGGGGTGGGTGGGTGGGTGTGCACGGATGGTCACATTCATGGATGAAACAGTGAATTAACCAGATGCGACTACGTAATGTGACGATCACTAGCGGATCCAGAGGAGGGGCAGTTCCGGGGGGCATTTTGCAATTTCGATTTTTTTTTGCAACACACATTAACACCATGTCACCACCGCCGCCGCACAGAACAGAACTGAACTGTATTGTCCCATGGCCCGTGGTCCGGGGTAAGCGTGCGATCAAGAATCTGTCTCAACGGCCGACTCCTACTGCGACTTGCCTTGCCAGGTGACCTAGCGGTGCCGGGGCATTCGGTAACAGCCAATGATCAAAGGGCAGGCTGCGTCACAGACTGATCGGTTGTGGAGGTAGGAGCTCGTCAGCGCACAGTGGGCGATCCGGCCGGTCAGTGGCGTACCCAGGAATTTGCGAAGGACCAGGGCATTGGACGAGAGGGCGCCAATCAAGGAGGGCGCCAACAACAAGGAGGGCGCCACATATCTGAAACTTGAATGTGTCAGTTATGTTCGTACACGTGCGGAACGAACATAACTGACATACTGGACAGAGGGGCGCCACCCACCATCATCTAGGAGCGCGACGCTATCGATTGGAGGGGCGCCAATACTGGACAAAGGGGCGCCACCGGCCCACCATATCGTCTAGGAGGGCGCCACTATCACCAGAGGAGCGCCAATACTGCACAGAGGGGCTTCGCCATCAACTAGAAGCGCGCCGCTATCGACTGGAGGAGCGCCAACACTGGACAGAGGGGCGCCAGTCACTGAGGGCGCCGGGGACGATGAGCCAAAGGGACAGGGCATGCACGAAATGTCCTGTCACATACAGGACATTTCGTGCATGCCCTGTCCCTTTGGCTCATCGTCCCCGGCGCCCTCAGTGACTGGCGCCCCTCTGTCCAGTGTTGGCGCTCCTCCAGTCGATAGCGGCGCGCTTCTAGTTGATGGCGAAGCCCCTCTGTGCAGTATTGGCGCTCCTCTGGTGATAGTGGCGCCCTCCTAGACGATATGGTGGGCCGGTGGCGCCCCTTTGTCCAGTATTGGCGCCCCTCCAATCGATAGCGTCGCGCTCCTAGATGATGGTGGGTGGCGCCCCTCTGTCCAGTATGTCAGTTATGTTCGTTCCGCACGTGTACGAACATAACTGACACATTCAAGTTTCAGTGTTCCATAGTTCCATAGTTCCATAGTTTTGAAGCTAGAACCACAATATTTAGGAGCAACCTTCTTGAATATCCAATGAGCATATGTTTTAAATAAGGACTATCTCTTTTAGGATTTGTGCTCTGTGGCGAGCTTGCAATCTGCCTAATTGCCGCTCGAATAACGCATGAATACTTTTGAGGGTAGGTTGAAATTAATGACGATATGAGCTGGGTAGGACATCGAAATGGTGTGTACCTCCGTAGAAAATTGCTTCCAAGCCAACTTTTTATTCAAACGATTATGCCCTACCAATTTATACATACCATGAAACAGCGTAAATCTCGCCCGGCAAGGCCCCATTTCATAACGTGACCCAAGCAGCGGGTTTGGTTTTTGGTAAATAACTTCGCAAAAAATGGCCGCAGAAACACGATTTTGACATCGTCGTGTTCGCCTTGCTCAGGCGCGTCGAATGGTATACTTTTTGGTTCAGGTGAGGCCACCGTAAGGTGTTGACCTGTTTACCTCGAGTCAAGGTCAGGTCAGAGGTCTTCAAATCACAAAGTTGGTCGAATGAGGTCATATCGCATATCATTCGATTCGGCAGGTCTTCCGGAGTCCATTGGTGACCTTGTCGACTCTCTAGCTCAATTTGATCGGGAGTTATTGACGAAAAACTCGTATGATCCTAGTGACGTCATAAATGACGTCATGCAAGGTCAACAATGGACAAATGCAGCATCAGATCTTGCAAGGAGTGCATGAAGTAACGATTCCATGTACTTGAGACAATCGAATATCATTCCTGGCGCCAAAATAACAGTTTTCATATTTCCCCATTGACTTATAGGTGAGATCACGTGACCAACCTGACTTTATGTGACATTTAGGAAAAACCTGAGATAAAAAAGTTGTAAGACCTCTAAAGGACAATAAGTCCTGCAAGTCTCACCTCCCTGTGAAAGTTACTCTGGCACTGAGAGCGTTGCAAGGTTGCGACATCTGAGGATCGTGCAGAGGTTTATCTATGACGTCATAGGTCAGTGACCTGACCTGACTTGAAAGTGCGGTTGGTGTCACAAGATTTGGCGTGCATCAAAGGTCAGGTATGCCAAGTTGCATCTCTCTATTGTCTGGGTGTTTTGAGCTATCGCGAAAACACCTTTTGGGGCATTTACCACTTGTGCTCAAGTGCACCAAGCCACGGCCAATCCTTAGAAGAAAAAGGTGTCTGGATGCCAGGGCTGCAAGTGGCTGCAAATTTTCACTGGCTTCCCTAATAGATAGTGTCTTAGTGCATGCGATACAGCATTATTTTCAGTTCATCCTCGTAAAACTTTTTTGGCTGGGCTTGGTTAATTCAGTGAACGTAATGTTCAGTGGTAGAAAAAATATAAAAAGTTAACCTAATTATAAGACATTTTGAACTGATTTTGTCTACTTGCTTTCTCTGGTGGAATCGTCTAAACATCTAAATTTCACTTTCCATGCAAAATGGATGCTCAACACCTAGCAATTTCATCGTTCCGCAAAATATTCAAAGAGCGTAAAAATCGGCTGTGATTATCCCCCTTATGAAGTGTTACGGAACGCTGTCTTTAACGATACTTTTGTCTATGAAAAAATGTCTCCTGAACCACGCAAATGCACTAATCGTAATCTTTGATGAATTTTCTGTCGACTAGTATGCGTTATTTTCCAATTTTCGGGAAAAAGTGTCTTTGAGGTTTCGCGAGGCTAGACCGGCCCGATCGCCTACCGTGCAGCGGCGCGACTCTGGAATAGGGGAGACTCGGGAGGTATGGGCCGGTTTTGTGTAAAGGCAATTTTCTTCCAGTGGGCAGTGGCTAGACCCGGTTTTTCACTCTGTGTAGGTACATTCCACAGCATAAGTAATGTGACTTTTCAGTCCTGGGTATGTTCTGCTTCTGGAGCTTAGGAATAATTAGCTAGACCACAATGCAACTTTGAATGTAGTTAACCTGTATCGTTACCCTTGCAGCTGCAACTTTATCTATTGACGTCTTCTTTTCGATCACTCCGCATAAAGATATCGGCAGTCAAAACCATCCGTTGAGATTGGTAAAACCGCACATTACTTTAGCGGTGGGCTGTACGTGAAATTGCTTTTCGCCTGCATAGTGTGCCTGATATTAGGCATCTGGGACCAACTATTTTGTCTCGAGATAACTTTCAATAAAGCATGCGCTTTTTCGATCCATCAAAATACACCCGGAGGTATGGGCCGGTGCTATGTTTCATATTCTTTTCTCGACAATGAGAACAATACTCGTAGCTGGTATCGGCTGGTATCCACCTTGATCTCTCTTAGAGCCACCGCATGAGCGGCCAACAGCTTATTTCATGGAGGTCACTCGGGCACATAAGTATTTTGGTTAACTCAGTCATGCACCATGAAATAAGATAAACCAGCATAACGCCTTTTGGGGCGACTAACGGAGCGAGCGAGAGGGTGAGCCTTGCACGTGCGAAATTGCGAGGGGGTACCTCCAACTGAGTTGTGCACGGCACCCTACTAACCGGTCTCTAGCGATGTGCCAAATTTGAGCACAATCGGCCCAGCCGTTCTCGAGATCTGGAGGCGGCACCCTGCACGTGCGCACGTGCAAAATGGGTCCCAACTGACTTTTGCACGGCACCCTACTAACCGGTCCCTAACCATGTACCAACTTTGAGCGCCATCGGTCCAGCCGTTCTCGAGATCTGGAATCGACCCCTGCACGTGCGCACGTGCAGCAGCACCTCAACTCTGGCACATGGATATGCATTGCATAGTGGGTGCCTACTAGTGATGTCAATTACGGAAAATCGGAATACCGATACCAAACCAATTACCAACCAAAACCGTGGAGAAATACCGAAACCAAACCAACTTGGGAACATGAGGAAAATACCAACTTTTTACCGATTCCTTAGCCTCTTAAACATTAGCGAGGGTTCATGATACCAACAAAATACCAAACACATTAGGATTGAAATATCAAATACCGAGTTGGTATCGGTTTGGTATCGGTATACCAAAAAGTCGGTATCCGATTGACATCTCTAGTGCCTACCTACATGCCAACTTTCAGCGCAATCGGCCAAGTAGTTACCGAGATATTGCAACAATTGCAAAAGTGACACCTCTTCGTTTTGCACGTGGCACGTGCATAAGGGGTCACCCACATGCATCGGGAATAGTCCAATACTTGGTAGAAGGAATGAAGCTACCCTACAAAAATTACCGCATGTAAATCGGTCAAGTGGTTGCTGAGATATAAGCCTCGCAAAAGCGTGACCACGGCCGGCCGGCCGGCCGCTCATACTTAGAAATTTCCGTTAATCTAAGGAAAGACTACGCTCGCTTCGCTCGCTCCGTAATAATATTTTTTCTGTTCGAATGAAATTTTTAGTTCAATAATCGACCTTGCGCGGCAAAAATAAAACTTACTGAAGAGGACATTCAATGAAAGCATCATTTCATTGATTGAGGATCAACGGGGGTGGGTGGCCCGAGCCTCTCGGTTAGGACGCATGAATGTGCGTAGCATCTTAGCTCATATTCTTGCAACAAAGCTTCAAATTGTTTATCCAGTCCTAATTTGCATGCTTTAAACTTAATGTTAGAGCTGGTCTGACATCATAAAACGAGCCTGGTTCAAATTTATCACGAATTTTTGTATTTCCTACATGCCGGGGTATGTCTTAAGCACAGCACGAGCCGGGCAGTAAAACTATGTTCCAACATGCCGGGGTATGTCTTAAGCACAGCACGAGCCGGGCAGTAAAACAATGACCAAGTAACTGTCGGTGTCAAAATGCCATGTTATTTGATAGGCCGGGCCAAGATTCTTACAGATAAGGTTGGGACGCCAGTCACGTGATCCTTTTTCTGCTTTTCCCAACCCTACTCACGATTTTCATAAGCCTTGATTTATTCCTTGCACGGAGGCGTTTGTAGTTATTTTACATACAAAAACTAATTTAATGATATTTGAAATTAACAAACAGATTTTACTCGCAATCTCAAACAGAAATTGAATTTATTCGCGTTTCATTAATTTAATCAACTGACAACCATCACCCATCGTCCTCGATGTAGTCGAACTTGGCGCACTCATATAGTGTTCGAAGTTTGTGACGCTTACTTGTTGCTATGGCGACCGAGCAGTACCTACGATTTTCATTTGTCAACAAGTGCTTGCGGAGCTGCCGCTCACACTTTTGAACACAGTCTTTATGCGTCAGTTTATTTTATGCGTCATATCTGAAACATGTTTCGTGAGGCTCCAAAACCATTCAATTCATCTCCTTCAAAAGAAGTGTTTTGTAACATTTTCGATATGTTTTTTGGGCTTAATTGCTAGCTCCATTCATCTTATCTTGCGTGAGGATAGTCATCACTCGGGGACCAGTCGTTGAAAGCAAGGAACAACGACGAGAAGAAGGTCTTATAAAAAGTCGCAGCGATTGCATTGAGCATTAAATGACGAAAATATTTTTACCCCCCACCGCCTCAGGCGATCACGTGCTGTCACGCACCTGGGCCGGGCAGGAAACAAAAGTTTACTGCCCGGGTTTACTGCCCAGGGCAATGACCTCTGAACAGAGCTTATCGCATTAGCCCAGAGGTATAATTACCCAGGGAATGTATAATTGAAATCATTATTGCATGGTATTTGCATCGTAAAATTAGAAGACTAACATTTTTGGTAAAAAAATATCTGCTCTGCTTATAAAAGGCTTTGAAATATTTTGTATTGGTTACAAAGCCAAAATTATTTTTACCGGTGGAGCCTCAGGATCCAATACTCATTGTATTTAAAAACGGTTTTCTGCAAGAAACAAAACACACCAACAGGTCCATAAGTATGACAATTAAAAAAGACAGTCAGTAGCGATATAAGACGTAACCAAATATAAGTACGATAGAAGTAGTAACCAAATAAAAGAAACACATAGCACACAAACACATAAACGCAAAGAAAACTCACGGATTGTTTCAGGTTCTGCAGCCACCGGCAAGCACTTGACATAAGTTCGTTCGTACAGGTTCGTTCGTTCAAGTTCGTTCGTTCAGGTTCGTTCGTACAGGTTCGTTCGTTCAAGTTCGTTCGTTCAGGTTCGTTCGTTCAAGTTCGTTCAATTCGTCCCGCTTCGCGCCGCTCACCCGCTCACTGTCCTTTGGTGATTTTGTAAACGGACGCAAAGGCGGCGAGCACGAACAGCCGTCAAGTGTGATGGTAGCACGACTGAGTGACAAATTGGGAAAACAGTTGCAGAGCGCCGGGCGGAGTGAGGGAGAGAAGAACAAACGGGCAGTTCATTTTGTCGGTGAAAGCACGGGAGCAACATCACCTGCCATGTTTGAACGCTTGAAACCACGGAACGACTGCAAACTCGCGGCTAATGCGGGCCGACATACGCCGAATAGCGATTCCGGCCAAACATGATCTTTAAAAGTATAGGTCACATGCCAAAGGTCAGGGTCAGGGTCAAGAAATTTTCAGGGTAGGTGTAAAATTGATTAAAACGAGGTTACTTATAGTTAAGTCGCGATCGGCCGCTTTTTACGCGAGTTATTCTCGAAAAACCGAGGCGGATTTTTGACCCCCTATACGGTGAGGGTTAATACTTGTGTGTGTGTGTGACGTCAACTAGCAGCAGGGGCGGATCCAGAAAATCTCCAAGGGAGGGGCCATTAGAAACCAGGAGGCCCCCCCCCCCATAATCCCACCTGTTGGGGGCCCCATCTTCCCACTTGTTGGCCCCCCCCCCAAAAAAAAACTGCGTCTATTGAGCTTATCTAGCTGTTCAGGCAACATTTCAACATCTGTGCAGGCTTGAAGGCCCTCTGTGCAGGTTAGGAGGCCCTGTAAAAGTGGTCATCTCTGTGAGTATAAGAGACCTCCAAGTTATGAAAAGCTTTACCAATCTTCTAACAAAGAAGTCTTCTCAGCTAGTCTTCTAAGAAATAACTAAGTGGGTAGGTTAAAAAAAAACTCATCGGATTTCGGCCACTTTATTTTCAGGAGGCCCCCTTTTCAGCTTTTTAACTTTTTAACTTTTTATTTTATTTTTGAAAAAAAAAATCGGCCAAGGGGGGGGGGCATGGCCCCCATGGCCCCCCCCCTTGTATCCGCGCCTGACTAGCAGTCCAATCATTTACACTGTGTATAGTTCATTAGTTCTTAAGCAATCCATCGTCGTTTTCGGATATTACCTAGGTAGACGCAACAACCCTAGGGAGTTTTTCAAACTATTTGATCGTTCAGGGAGTTTGCAAACTCCCTATAGTTCGTTTTTTTTTCTAAGTTCGACCCTCACTGTAAACGTCTCTTTGAGCACAGCACGAGAATTGGTAGCTGAATTACTGAGAAAACTCGTTGGCGCACAGTGATTTCGCAGACGATCAATTGTATCAAAATTATTTCTACCTGGCTCCTTTTCCCCAGACTTGCAGCCCGGTATTTGCAACCTCACAAGGATCGAGGACTTGTCAAGAAGTATAACCGAACTAATTAATGAATTGCACGGCGTTTAACTTCACAGTACGAGTATATAATCGATGTTAGAAATTTATTTTGAAAATATTAGTTCATATCTCCAATACAAAGTGCGCTAACTCGAACTTAAAAAAACGAACTTGTAGGTAGTTTGCAAACTAACTGATTTCTCATACTCCCTGTAACATATATATCACAACTTATAATGCAGTTTGAAAACATCCTGAGTACTTCCCGGAAATCTAGCAATATTGGTAATGCCGATATTGGCAACCTATTAGCAATCGGTACTTTGGCTGCATTTATGCCATTTCACTTTCAAATCCCATTTTTGGTCGTCGTAGCTTCTACGGACATTCCGTACAAGTTTTCGGACCTTCCAAAACTTGTAGGGACACTGTGCGCAGTGCCTCCGTAGTGGTGGTGACGCCCATGAATGCCGGCCGTGTCACTGCACGGGACTGTCGGTACTGTTTGCCGCCAGGCAGGAGAGTCTACAGCGGCGAGAAGAGCGTCAGCAGAGGAGGCACCGCAAGGAGCTGGTCGAGCGGCTGCTGTTCGAGCACGAGCAGCAGCAGCAGCAGCAGCAGCAGCAGCGCGCCGGCCACTGGGCCAGGTACGGTCACCAGCACTTGCTACTAATCACCTCGTCTTTGGTCAGTAGTTTGAAGACCTATCAGTCGCGCAAGATACTTTAACCCGCGCCGGGCCGGTGTTCCGCGACTTCCGCGCCGGGCCGGGGGGTCTGAACACCCCCCCCCCCGTCTAACTCGGCTCCTGGGCCACGTAGTGACACGCGGTAAGCGGCATTCGAAAGAGCGTCAAAAATAATGACGGAAACACTTCGGTCATTTTTTGGGTCAGGTCAAAGGTCAGGTCGCCAGAGGTAATCAAAGGTCAAATGTAGGCTATTTGAACTGATTTGGAAACTGTCCACGGTTATCTCGGGAACCAATAGAGCTACAGCGCCGCGGAAAAGCGCATTTGATAGCCCTTTTACAGACCTTTCTGAGTATTGTTCTCAGATTTGACCTCAGGTCAACGGTTTAGCCTCCAGAGAGCAAAAACTGTAAAAATAGCCGTTTTCACCAAAAACAGTTTTTCGGTAATAATTTTTTATTCAAGCAAGCGACGACATTACTTTTGCCAGCATCGTGTTCCTCTCGTCGAGACGCGTCGAGAGAACTATTCGCTGACCTTAAAAGGTCATTTTGAAAATTTGACCTCAGGTCAAGGTCATGACCTGACCGGAAAGGGTTATGTTGCATATCGGTCTATCTGTATCGTCGTGCTGAATACATCTGACGTATTTTCATCGCTCTAGCACGTCTCTATCAAAAGTTATAGCCAAAAAACTGCTTGTGACCGTTCATGACTTGAGATGACCTCAGGGGCACACAGAGGGGTCAGAGGTGCATTTTTCCGATTCAGTGTGTCATGTTTACCCATGAACCGATGTTTGAGACGGTTTTGAACACCATTCGTCCACAAGAGGCGCATTTCAATTTCCTCCCATTGACTTATAATGGAGAGGAGAGGTCGCAAAATTGACCTGACCTCTTAGGTCACCGATATCAAAATTCCGAGATAAACATTTTGTACAGACTGTTAGTATTATCAATTGCTGAAAGTTTTAAGGCGATCGTTCAGTCGGTGTAGCTCTGACGAGGATTGAAACTTTTTCTGAGGTGAGGTCACTTGACGTGACCAGGGCCTCGTTTCATAAAAGGAATTACTTACGGCGTTCCGTCAATTATGCCAGATTTGGCGTATTTGATGCCAATTCGGTTTCATAAAGCCGGAGACCGGAGTAATTCACGCCATCGAAATTACGGAGCTTCATTTACGGCAAATGCTTGATTCCGGACCAATTGATGCCATTTGGGTTTCATAAAACGACGTAATTAACGCCAAATATTTTATCAAGTTCTTGATATCAGTGGTGTAAACCAGCTGCCGGACATTGGTCACGTGACCACATTTTCCGTTTGACCCTGAGTTGGCACCAGATTTTGTCGACAGATGTGGCGCAGCTTATTTTACTGCATTATTTTAGATACTAAATATTTAGACGTGTGGTGGTAAATGATACCATGCAAATGATATTTAATCATCGGTGACTGTCGCCACGTGTCCTCTGGTATTTCACACGCCAACGACACTTATTTAGCCGGATGATAGACAAGGACTGTAGGAGAGCGATGGGTAGATAAGGATGGTGAGGAAGACGCCAGCCGCTGCCCGATTCCAGCCTCTCGATGGCGAGACCACTGTAATCGGACAGATCAACCGATACTCCGGCGCCTCGATGGCAAGGTTAGCCGGAGCCGACTGGTCGCACCCCTGTCTGAGCGGAGACCCCGCACCCGAGCCTCGATGGCAAGACCCGGGGAACGAGTTTAAGCTCAGTGACTCGATGGCGAGACACTGTGGCCGCCTCCCTCACACACCCCGGAAGAGGCCTTGTTATGAGTCCCGGATGAAAGGAAATGATCGGCTACTCGCACGCTGAGAAGACTCGCTGCTGTTCACTATCCTCACCAACACTGTTTCTCGAGTGCACTTGATGTATTGTGTCCCATCACTTTGCAGCACAAATCTTACGACCACAATCCCAGACAGACACACACCTGCTCCACTCCATCCCGTCTCGGACCCCAACTGGCCCGCCAGTCCGGTGGCGGCCCGGCATAGCCTCGCTAGTGCCCGCGGCGCAGCCCACCAGCAGCCAATCGCCGGGCCGCCCGATCGCGCGGGTCACCGCCCGGGCCAGGTTAAACATACCTCCCGGCGCCATGTGGCCTCAGCGGCCGGTCCGCACGCTGCGCGGCCCGGCCGGAGGATAAACTGATGCAGCCGTCGGCAACATCCTCCCCCACCGTGTTGCACAGCAGGGCAACACTTACAACAACGCAACCGACGCTGCATCAAACATCTGCTCCGAGGCAAACAACGCACAAAACAACATCAAACCACGCATCCTTGAGTCTCGCCCGCCGACCACCTACTCCTTACAAACATACATTGATACACGGCACATACATGCTATCGCAACTCCCACACAATGATCCTCACGCACAAACAGGCGAGGCACGCCCATTGCAGTTGGAGGGGACAGCAGACTAGCACCGGAACCTTACCACGAGCAGATTCACCAGTCCTACGTGAGAGGGCCTCCGTATCGTATGGGACGGGCTGAAGACGTCTCCAGCTCGCCACCGTCCAGCGCACTGCTCGTGCCAAGACTGCCACAGCGCAGGCCATGGCATCTGATGTGGTGCAGCCACCACTGATGGGGTAGTCGTAGAGGTCGCCGCCTCCATCGCTGACATAGCCGCCCACGATACTGCCACCAGCGTCGAGGCAGCCCCCGCCACCGCTGTGGTGGCTGCAGAGGTGGCCGCCACCGGCGCTGAGACTGCCGGCGAGATCGCCGCCCCCGGCGCCGTGGCAGCCGCCGAGATCTTCGCCCTCCATTTTGAGATAGCCGCCTAGGGCGTCGCTGCTTACGACGAGGTAGCCGCCTGCGGCGAAGCAACCAAGCAGATCGCTGCTTCCCGCGCCGCCGGAGACGATGTCGTGGCGGCAGCTGTCGCCTCGCTCTTCCGAATATCTTCTTTCCTATCTTTTTCCTGTTTCTCTGGGACTGGTTCTGATACCCAGGAGTTGCCGGTTCCTCTTTTTCTATAAAGAGTCCTGCTCTCCTCTTCTCCCCCACCATCCCGGCATGGTCCAAGATCTCCAGTTCTCCGACATCATTTTCGTAGACCGCCTCCGGTTCGTTGACCTTACAGTGGCTTCTCGCTGTCCATCCTTCATCGACAACAGTTTCTTCAACATCTCTTGACTGACAACGCACAAATGTGACCTGCCGCTTTGCGCACGGTATCATGGTGGATATTGAGCCAGTCAGAGTCCAGCCTAAATCCGTTCGGACTGCGACCGGCATTCCAGGACCTCCCACTCTGACTTCTCGTTGCAGTACGGCTCCCAGGACGTTAGCTCCAAGAAGCAGCTCAACCGGTGAGCCGTTGTACTGTCGCAGGTCTAGATCCTGCAGGTGCTTCCAACTCCTGAGCTGCTTGCTGTTCACACTGGGTGGGGTCACATTCAGTTTTGGTACTGACCATACTTCAGGCACCACAATACGTTCTTTGCTAACAGCTGCGCTCACAGGACTGACCGCCAACTGAACCCGAAGGGAGAGTTGTGTAAGGCCACTCCCTTCCACGTTCTGGAGCTGCAAGTTTTCTCGCGTACCTCTGACGCCAATGTTCTTCAGAACCGCTTCGCTGCAGAAAGAAGTCTGCGATCCAGGGTCCAGCAGCGCTACTACGTCTATGTCTCCGGTCGGACCGTGTATCCGCACCGGCACCAACTGCAGCAGCGTATCAGTCGTCTCCGTTAGAGTAGCACCGACGATGCGGCTTCCTTCTCGTGCCGAGGTCTTTGGTTCTGTTTGCTCCTCGTCATTCTCAGTAGCATCTCTGTCCACATGAATTAGTCGATGATGGATTGCGGTGCATCCATTCCAGTTGCAGCGCCTTGCAGATCGACAAACTCTCATCAAGTGTCCCTTGTTCAGGCAGCCCCAACACAGTCGCTCCTTGGTCACTACAGCCAGCCTCTCCTCCACAGTCTTCGACTGAAACTCAGAGCAGTCTTGGAGCTTGTGTTGTTCTTCACACAGAACACACCACCAGCATCTTCGGCTTTCTCCGTGAGAAGACACAGCCGATGTGTTCTGTGTTCTCTGGGCGTAAGCTTCTCGTGGAGATACAGAACACTTCCCGTCTTCTTCATCACGATTGTGGAAGGTTGAGTGCCTGAGAATGGCAACTTCCGTGTCCAGCCACTTGCTGAAGATATCCAGGGTGGGTCGACCTGGATACAGCTTGTGGACCTCACGTCCCCACTGATGCATCAGCTCCCACGGCAGTTTTGAGACGACTCGGCGCAGGTTCTCGCTCGCTCCCAGGTCATCGTAGTATCTCAGAGCTTGCAATGTCAAGACAGTGTTACTGATGGTAGAATTAAACCTCTCCATGGATGCCAGGTCACTGACTGATGGTGCTGGAACCGAGAACATTGAGCTGAGACACGCTTGGCTGATGACACCTTCCTGGCCGAATCGCTCGTGCAGTCTTGCCAGCGCTTGGTGGTACATCCTTCCATCGAATCGGAGGCCTTCGATAGCTTCCCGGGCAGCCCCATCCACAGTCTGTTGCAGATGTGCCATTCTTTCCGTATCCGACAGGGACGCCTGGTCATGTATCAGCACCTTGAAGAGGCTGATCCAGCTGGGCCACTCACTTGGATCTCCGCAGAACCGTGGCAGGCTGAGACGCGGAATGCTGTTGGCGAAAGCTGACATCTCCGGTGACTGTGGCACCTGTTTCTCATGTCGCTGACCTTGTACTGGCCAGGTGTTTGGATTTAGTACTGAGCCAAACACTTCCGGTGATATCATGGCACCGTCACCCGTTAATCTGGACTCATTTGCCGCTGCCTCCGTGTGTTGACCTCCTCTGCCGGGAACGTCCATACCACCAGGTAGTTCAGCTGATCGTTGCACATCCTCATCTTTGGCATGTACTTTTCTCTCTTTGGCAGCCG